AAATACAGACTCGTGTGCGATGCATGATAAAGCGCATGCCATACTAATTAAATTATATATGACTTTGACAATTATCTTACAGTCTGTCATTCATCCCTTTTTAACACCTTTGCCTATAAGCTTCTTCAATATTTCATCATATCTCACTCTTCTGCTCCTGTATTCAGTCTGGTTCCTCTTTACGAAGTCTAGTCTCTTCATGCACAGTAGCCTCAACTCAATGTACCATCTGAGGAATAGTCTGACTGCACCGAAGACTTGACATAATTCATGGAGACTTCTCTACTATTGTTATAGCCACAAGCATAATATTCCATTGTTACACATGACACTGCATTCATAAGTATGGGAGGTAATGAGGTATCTCAGGGACCAGCACTCTGATCATTACTATTTACAATGATATAAGTTATCTTCAGATGGAGTCTGAGGGATAAAACAAGACCTAGTTTTGCTGATAATACCAACTATGTGGCCAGGAAGAGAGAGGGGAAGGGAAAGAAGAGGGAGTTTCCAGTAAGACCAAATATAAAGAGAGATTCTTGACTATTTATTGCTTAATGTTAATACAACTTCTCGGTGAATACTAAGGAAAAGAGGGTGAGCAATGTGAATTAAAGATAAATGGTTCTTACTCCACACAGTACAGAAATTTCCAAGTACTACTTTTGGATAGTTGACGAAATCGTCAGTGTAGTATTTTCATTCATCTCGACACAAGGGTTTAGCAAGAGTGTTAGTTAAAGTGTTAGTTCAAAATTTTCAAAAGCACTTATTCAGCCAAATTCAGAAAACAAGTGTAATTACTGTATGTAGTGACTGGAACAAGATTGGCCATATAAATCTCATTGAGTATAAGTTCCTTGATTGGGGCTGTTAACCTAGGTCAATCAAGGAGTCCTAGCTGACAGATAAAAACAGGAGTGCCAGGGGTTCTTGTCACTTGAGGGACAGGCTCTGAGCTGGCTGGTCAGAGCCCATGTACCATGCATGTATAAATAAAGGCTGACTTGGTGACAGGAGACTGGCCTCTGCCAAGTTATTTCACTGTACAATATCTATAATTGGAGAGATTTAGGGGATAAGAATTAATTTGATGCCCCATATTAGGTACCTAAATTTTGATGAGAGTCTTCGGAAATTAAATTTACAAATGGAAAAAATTGATCTAAAGTCTTACATTGAGGATTCTAAGGAGTAAGGAAAAAGTGAATTTAAATAATATGCTAACATAATCACAAACTTTACAAGAAGCCACAGAATCAAACTTATGCGAAAAGGAACTGAACAGCTGTCTTTGTTTGAAGCATATATTGAAGCAGTGGTGATGGATGTGTAAAAGACTGAAAGTATTCTGGGTAGAAATTCAAGAGAAAATTGGTGTTTGTCACAGGAAAGGATTGCAGTGACAACCAGTAAAAGATCCACGGGTACAACAGAGTCATGTATGAATTAGCAGCAGGAATAGGCTTCCTCCACCCACAGAGCCATGGCTTATTCAATTGCTCTACAGTTCTACAAACTCCCGATAATCTTCTATTTGCCTCTGCCTTGGAAATATTCAAAAACTCGAAGGAAGAGAATTCCAGTGACTGACAAACCTTGTTCAGAAAAAGATTCTCGTCTGTTTTAAATGAGCAGCCGCTTGTTTAAACAGTGACCCCTATATCTAAATCGTCCCAAAAGAAGAAACGTCCTTTCCGCATCTATGCTTAGGACCACACGTGTTTCAATCAAGTCACTTTCAACTCTTTTAAACTTCAACAGATAAAGTCTAGCCTGTAGAACCTTTCCTTGTTAAAGAAACCATCATTCCAGGTACTAGTCTGGAATCCCAGCTGTGCAGATAGAGGCCATTTAGCCTATCAAGTCTGCACTGACACCCTGAAGAGCATCCCACCCCGACCACACCCACACTCTATCCCTGCATTTCCCATGACTAGCCCACACATCTCTGGACACTACAGGGCAATGTAGCATGGCCAATCCACCTAACCTACACGTCTTTGGACTGTGGGAGGAAATCAGACAAACACATGCGGACAGGGAGAGAATGTGCAAACTCCACACAGACAGCCACCCAAGGCTGGAATTGAACGTTGGGCCCTGGCACTATGCAGCAGCAGTAGTAACTGTTGCGCCAGCGAGCCACACAACTGAGCCATTGCTGACAGTGTGGAGCTGGAGGAACGCAGCAGGCCAGGCAGCATCAGAGGAACAGGAAAGCTGACGTTTCAGGTCGGGACCCTTCTTCAGGAATGGGGGAGGGGGAAAGGAGCTCAGAAATAAATAGAGAGAGGACGGATGGGGCTGGGGAAGGTAGGTGGGATGGTGATAGGTGAGTGCAGGTAGGCAGTGGTGGGGATTGGTCAGTGAGGTGGAAGGAGCGGATAGGTGGGGGAGAAGACGGACAGGTCAAGGAGGCGGGGATGAGAGGGAGGGTTGGTCATGGGATGAGGCCGGGGCGGTGGGGGCGGTGGATTTTGAAATTAGTTTTAAATGAAGCATAGCCTCCCTAGTTTGGTCTTCAATTTCCTTTGCAATAAAGAATAGTGTTCTGTTACATTTCCGAATTGCTTGCTGTACCTGCATACCAGACTTCAGCAATTCATGCACCAAGACACCAAAATCCCCCTTCATCTCAAAGCACTGCAATCTCTCACCATTTAGATAACATGCTTCTTTTTTATTCTTCCCCAAAAAATAATGACAATTTCACATTTTCCAACATTATACTCCATGTGTCAGAGCTTTGCACCCTTGGTTAACCACTCTGTAAACCTTTTTGAGAAGCGTACATCCGTATTTCATGTGATGTGGGCATCACTACCAAAGTCAATGTTTGTTTCCCATCCCTATTTGCCCTTGAACTGTGTCTTGCTAGGCCGTTAACGAGAGCAGTTAAGAGTGACCTACATTTCTTTAGGTCTGGAAACACATGTAGGCCAGACTACACCTTCTAAGAATGGCAGATTTCCTTCAGTGAACCAAATCGTTTTTTTATGACAACTGCCAATGCTTACATGGTTTAGGCTTGACTAGGTTTTAAGTTTAGATTATACCGAGTTCAAGTGAGACCTTTTGCCATGCTGTGGTTTGAACCCATGTTCTCAGATCATAGCCTAGGCCTCTGCATTGCCAGTCCAGTGCCATTGCCACTGCAACACCACGTCTCCTCTTCATAACATACTTGCTGATTAATTGTTGTGTCATCTGCAAATATACCAACTATTTCACAGTCCCTTCAGCCCACTCATTTGGGGTGGGCATTACGTGATAATCAGTAGGAGGTTTCCTTACTGATGTTTGACCCGATGCTATGAGACCTCCTCATGGGCTCCTGAGTCAGCCAATCAAATTTCAGAACTCCCAAGGCAACTCGGTCTAGTCTGTGTAGGTGAGATGATGATGGCGTTGTCTGGGACATAGTCTGTTTCCATGAGTATGACTAGAGTCACAAGGAGTCCATCCAAATTAAGGACGGCAGATGTAACTTCCAAAAGGTGTTGTCACCTGGTGACAGACACTTGAGGATTATCTCGGAGGTGGGATTTGGACCAGATCCCCAGAGCACCACCTGGATTTCTAAGTACTAGTGGAGTAACTGCATCATCATCTCCCCACAGTTCTAAATGGGTCAATGTTCATGTTACATTGGTACCGTCCATTCTACTGATGTCATATGCAGTCTGTGGGTGGAGGCAAGGAGCTTCTAGGACTTGGAGGGATCAGATCTCAAGTTCTATTAATTATACCTGACTAAATTGTACTTATTGTTCTAATGCAATAATCCTTTTGGTTGTCTAAGAACAGCACCTCTTGTAAAGACACTATACCACTACTCACTAGATGGGTCCATGTCATCAGTCACCTTATCACTTATATGATTTCTATGAATCTCAGTATACCATCGTCCCAAATCCACAAACTAGGCTCGAGTGAAACATCTGCAAAACAGTCTGGTTTTTGTTTAGATCGGGTGGCAGACACAGGGACTGTTAAATGGAGAGCTGCACTCAGCAAAAGAATGCCACTGGTGCTCTGAAAGTTATAGGAAATCAAAACATGAAGCAACTTTTTACCCCTCAGAACCCACACTCTCTGTTGCCACACCTATGCCAACATTTGCCCCTACCCAAGCTCCAAGAGCTCCTCATGCAAGTCATGCCAAGCTATAAGTCTCTAACAATCTTATTGCCACTTTACAGCTATGCCATTTACTCATCCCCTTCCCAAAGAATTTTATAGCCTCTATTCTAATCTGTGCTCATTTACCCACTCCGACAGGACTATTGTAATCCAAATGCCACTTTGTGTCAAAAAATGCCAACACATGCCCCACTTCCCTTTAACCTTGCTCCTTCAATTCTACTCACCCACAATTCACAATAGGTAAACCTTACGATGTATACGAAAAACCCACTCATTAATTTCATTTCCTTCAAATACCTTATTAAAACAAAAAATATTTCTATTCAAAGACCCACTTCAAAAACTTTATAACTATTTGGAGCTGTCAATAATCTGTGAACTGACAGGTATTCTGCTGTGATAAGCACAGTCTGCTGAATTACCTATGCAGCACTAATCCTGTGATAATCCTCAAGTGTATGCCAACAGAAACAGCGAAATAGCAAACATGAACTTTTTTAGACTACAGGCTGTTTTCTTTCCATTTAAAGGGGCCAGAGATTTAAATGGTCGACAACTTGACAGTTCCAATGAGTTTATCTGCTTTTATGCACATTCATACCCACTCATAGTTCCACGTTAAACACCATAATTCCAAACAAGCTCATCCCTAAAACTACAAGACCTAGGTTTTGGCTCCCCTCCTCTGTAATTGGATCCTCAATGTTTTGACCCATAGAATGCAATCAGTAAGAATAGGCGACAACACCTCCTCCACCATAATCCTGAACACTGGCACCCAGCAAGGCTGTGTACTCAGGCCCCTACTATACCCCTTACTCACTTCATGACTGTGTGGCCAAATTCCGTGCCAACTCCATTTACAAGTTTACTGATGACACCACTGTTGTAGGTCGGATCTCAAACAACAACAAGGCAGAATATGGGAAAGAGCTTGAGTGCTTAGCAACATTACGCAAACACAACAATCTCTCCATCAACATCAGCAAAACAAAGGAGCTGGTCATTGACTTCAGGAAGTAGAGTGGAGGGCACGCCCCTGTCTGCATCAATGATGCTGAGGTGGAGATGGTTCAGAGCGTCCAATCCCTGGGAATAATACAACAACAATCTGTCCTGGTCCACCCACATCGAATTGACGGTCAAGAAAGCACAAAAACGTCTCTACTTCCAACGGATGCTAAGGAAATTTAGCACGTCCACAAGAACTCTTACCAATTTTTACAGATGCACCATAGAAGCATCCTATCTGGTATACCACAGCTTGGTATGTCAACTTCCTTTTCCTGGACTGCAAGAAACCACAGAGTGTCATGAACACAGCCCAGTCCATCACACAATCCAGCCTTCCATCCATTGGTTCCATCCATACTTCCTGCTGCTTCAGGAAAGCAACAAACATAATCAAAGACGCCTCCCACGCCAGTTATACTCTCTTCCACCCTTTTCCATTGGACAAAAGATATAAAAGTTTGAATATATGTATAAACAGATTCAAGATAAACAAAAATATAGCATATAAAGGCAGAAGAATAAAGAAATAAAGAAAAAGTGTTTAACTTTACAGTCCTTCTTGTTAAGTGCTTCCCCATGAGCCATGGGCCAGGCACAAGTTTCTTCGCCATGCCATCACCGCTGGAACAGTGCCATCTCGCCTCCACCAACAGTCCTCACTGGACTTCACTAATGCAGACGCCACCGATGCCACTGGGTACCGCATTAGCCTAAAAATTGACCCCTCTGCCATAAATAACCAAGTGAGGAGCTGGAGGGACACAGCAGGCCAGGCAGCATCAGAGGAACAGGAAAGCTGATGTTTTGGGTTAGGACTCTCCCCCATTTCTGAAGAAGGGTCCCGACCCGAAACATCAACTTTCCTGCCCCTCTGATGCTGCCTGGCCTGCTGTGTTCCTCCAGCTCCACACTGTGTTATCTCAGACTGCAGCATCGGCATTTCTTACTATCTCTGCCATAAATCTGCTTTGGGTCCACCTCGCCAATGCAGCCACTGCCAATGCAACCTCTCTTAGAGAACGGTCCTACCAAAGTTCTTCGGAGAAGAAGGGTTTTATGATCCCTTTGGAACAGGTAAGTTTAGATCTTCTTCTGAAAGCTGGTGTATTATTTGAAAATTCTGACTGATGAAGTTGGATCTGTTTAAAGACATCTTTACTTTTACATGCCTCTGTGAAGTACAGATGTTCAAACTATGATCTGCTTCAGGTACCTTTGGAAGAATGGCTAGTGCCATGTTTTGGGGCAGGTCTTCTAGAATTGGGACTATTTGCTTTTCTGTAACATTGCACAACTCCACCATTTCTGTAACATCTTGTGCTCCTTTGCATCTTTGTAATGTCTGGACCTATTTCTTCCAATGCACTCCTTGCTGGCCTCCCAGCTTTCATCCCCTATAAAGGTGGATTCATCCAAAATTCTACTCCCCATATCCTGACTTGCATCATGACCTATTCATCCCCTCACCTCAGGGACCACTGAACAAAACTGGATCCTGGTTTAGCAATGCCACATTTTTAAAATTCTGACCCTTGCTTCTAAATACCTCTTCAGCTCTGTACTCAACTCTACTTCTCTCCAAGCTAACGGTGTACTTTCAATTCTGGTCATATGCACCTTTCCAATTTTAATTGCTCTAAAATTGTCAATGTATCTTTAGATGCTAAGAACGTAAGAAACTGGAAGTCTCTTCCTAACCCACTTGCCCTCTCCTTCCATCTATAAGGCATTCCTTTAAAACCATCTCCTTGACCAACCTTCTGGTCATTCACCTTAATATCATTTTATGTAACTTGGTGTCAAATTTCGTAAAGCACAGGGGCATTTTATTTTGATAGCAACTCTACATAAACACAGGACATTATTCATGTTGACTCTCCACCTCCCATGTATCATGTTTCACTCTGAATTGCTGTAATAGCTCAATTAAGCAACCATTCTTAATGTAGGGGAGTAGACCGTGAGTGTAGCGCTCTGTATTTGGACCTCTTGAACGGACCTATCAAATATTAATTCTGATCTCTCTCTCTGCACCTTCCCTGTGGCTGAAACACTGTATTCTGCGTTTTGTTCTACTACCCTGATGCACTTTGTATGGTATGATCTGCCCGTATAGCAAGCAAAACAACAAATTTCACTGTATCTCGGTACCTGTGACAACAATCAATCATAGGTCTAATCTGAGGTGAGCTTGATCCTATCTCCATTTGACATTAACACATAGATACTTTCCAGTGCAGGGAGATACTTGGCATCATCAGAACCAAAAATACTAACGAACATTTTCATTCACTGATCACAGAGGCAACTGCTGTTTCCTGATGCCATTCTATAGATGACAGATTGAAGCTACAACCTTTTTTGCTCGGTATGGTCCAGTGACACAATTAAAATTCGCTATCTAACCAAAAGTTGAGCAACAATTTTAAAATGGATCTTGTTTTTAAGTAATCAGCAATGGTTGAAACAAAATCTCTTCCTACCACAAAACCTAATCTGAATCAACACCGTTCATAAACCAAAATTATTCTGCAATTTTTTTTTCCTGTGCTAAAACTTTAAATTGGGTATTACAATAATTTCACTCTTATCATTGTGCCTGCATCAGAAACATGCATACGTAGAAGTGATCCTTGAGTAAAACTGATAATTATTTGTTCAACTATGACCCTGGGTCACTCAGCAATGTCAAAACGTTATAAGTAACAGATCAAAGTGGTATACCTGCAAGAATATACATGACTCTTCCTTATGCTTCGCCTGAAGAAACCCTTGCATCCATCACAACTAGAGGCACCATAATGTTTTCCTGTTGCTCTGTCCCCACAGATTGCACACAAAGTGCTAACTTCATTGTCAGATGTGTTCATGGTGTTTGTCTCTGTTGGAGAAGTGTCTGACCGAGGAAAGAACATACAATCAGTTCAATAATACACATCAGGCAGCATACTTACAAAGTCAATGACAAATCTTCACTATCTTCTGCTGCTGTTTCAATTAGCACGTGCTGCTGTGTTACAAAAAAGTGAGCCATATCAAATGTTGCTATTATCGTGCTGGGTTTCTTTGTACTGTCAGAGGCTAAAGGATTCAAGGATTCCCTAGAACATCAATGTTGTTATCGCAGTTATGCTTTGATCACATCCGGCAACTATATGCAAAAGCACCCACCATAATCTGTCGACACAATCGCCACCTAGAAATGAATGGGTTTCCCAGTGTCATTTTTCAGTGGCGTATTTCACCAATTTCGGCCGAGTAGAATAAATTCAGAATGAAATATTATTTGTTTAGTTTCAGAAACCTGACCCAAGGATGGGGAAAAGAAAAATATATTACAATTTGGTTTGTTACAAACAAATCCATACAAATGTACCCTTTCCCTCAGTTCAAATGTTCAGAGAAGAAGCAAAGAAACTTTAGGTATCCTTTCAAATGGAAATGATTAAGATTGGCATTGGCACAGTTACAGCACTATCTGTTGTCTTCTAAACCATAGCCTCAAATGATTTCTTAACTTACAAGTGTTGTCCTTTTGCCAACAAACAATCTTGCTTAAGCACTAGGATATCAATGACAAAACATAGACTAATACAGCAAGGCTATTATATCACTCAACCGTAATCTAAAGGTTGTTAGGAATACTTTCTATATAACTCAGTCTGGTCTATAGAATGTAATCCTTTTTTTTCAATTTGATCTCTTCCTCTTACCTCTCCCACTTGAACTAGGAGATTCTTTACCTTGGCAGGTTTAGAAAGTAACACTTTTACAAAGTCAAGGATATATCCTTGATAGAATTAAACTCTAAAAGTTTCAAGGTCATTTATGTCTGAATCATCACTGCCTAGAAATTACTGTTACGATGTTTGATTCAAATGCTAAATAATGAATGAAAGTATATATTACAAATGCATTAAACAATCATCAACTAATATCATCAAGTGATTTTTACGCTTGTTAAATAAACCAGTATTCCACAAATGATGTGAAATAAATGTTGATGCATGTATGAGTACTTAGTCAATCTTATAGCGAGTCCGTAAAAGAAATAGTTAATTATAACAGTTAAATAATCAACAAAGGATGAGGTAACCATTAGCTTATTATTTACATAACATGATAATCAGCTATTTAGAAATTTCACTTCTTCTCCAAAAACTATTTGTATATAATTTGTTAGTTTTGGAAACTTAATAACAACACTCAATTTTGTTCCATAAGTGACTGCAATGCTTTTTGCAATGAAATTTAATAGATGAAATAAGATAAGCTTAGAAATGTATGTCAACACTGTTTCCTGCTGAAGCTGTCAAAAAACTAAAATTCGTAGGACTGAAATGAACGGAGCAGAGAGTACTCTAGCTGACCTTACTTTAAGTTGATTGACATCAGCCTGCAAGTGGCTGACATGTTACATCCTTTTTAAGAGAAAACAGTAGCCAGACTCACACCACCCCCCACCAAATATGCTGCCACTTCATAAGATGAAAGAAAGAATCTCAATGGGGTAATCATAACTTCAGTAAAAACTACTTGAAATTAAGCAATTCTTTAAATAACTTACTTTCAGTTCTTCGCTGCACACATCGTATCCAAGCAATGCGTTATCTACCAAAAACTGAAACTTACCATGGGCACTATACAGCAACTGCATATTTTCAAACTCCAAAGCAGTGTAAGATGGGTCTAAAGCCTCACTATAATTTGCCATGTCCATATCCAAGAACGATTCAGACAGCCTCATTATGAACGTACACACATCTATGTCTTATACGCCCTGGTATCTGACAGCATTGTCCACTAGGTTGTCTCTTACATGTTCAGAATTTTGAAACATTGCCTGCAACTAACCACGTGATCGGCTTGTATAACTTTATGTGGTGGAATGGGAGGAGTCCTTTGAGATAGAGCCTCATCTGCACAGTAGAGTTAAATATGGTGTCTCCATCAAGAGTGCCTGAATGAGGTTATGACATTCATGGAATTTTTAGTGTGTGTGTTATCATTTGACATTGAAGTTCTGCTGGCTTTCTCATTACATTGGGCACCTGAAAGAGGACTTTGCTACATAAAGATATATTTACATTGGAACATCGTTGTGGAGTACCGGGAAGCTATCAATAACAATCAGTACATTGGAATTGATTTTTCACCTGCTACCAATAAATCTTATGGCTGCTTGTTTAGCTCTGGTAACCGTTGTTAATTATTTTTATTCACAGTGTCAATGAGAAACTGAAAGAAGTCAGATTTCATTTTATGAAATTTGACATTGAGTGTATGAGACAACACAGCACTGTCCAGAAGATGTACCAATATTAATGTTCAAATTCAGAAACAAAATGAGACTAAATTCTCATCAACAATGTAAGTGCCGGACATCATCATGACTTATTGCATCAAATGATTCTGTGTTTGATTTGATAACCATTACTGGAACATTGTGGATTCATTTCACCCCCACCTCTAAAGAATTGTGCATTGACACAAGGAGTAGTAAGTTATTAATAAAATTTAATAAGCTACAGTAATATAATAATATATTGAATTAGTACATTTGAGAGTGCATTGTAAAGTTGGAATACAATGATCTTCAGATGTAAGTGATAAATTGAGGGTTATTTTTGTAATCTACAGCATCATCCAAACCTTATAATGAACTCCAAAATATATATTAATTAAAAAAAAACATATTGGAAATTATCAGCAGGTCAGACATCTGTGGAGAGAAAAAAAAGTTAACAATTCAAAAGACCAATGTCACCTTTTTTTGTGGATGACCTGTTGAGTATTTCCAGCATTTTCATTTTGTTTCCAAATTTCCAGAGCCTGCAGCTTTTTGCTTTTTTTTATTAACGTCCAAATTATACATTCTTATACTCAAAAGGGAAACCTGCATTTTTCCCTGTATTTGTGGGATGAGCACTGCTAACAAAGGCAACGTTTTGGCAACAATCCCTAATGAGTGACTTGCTAGGCCATTTCTGAGGGCAATTAAGAGTCAGCCACACTGCAATAGACTTCTTTTTTACTTAGCTACCTTTTATATAGTTTCCTTAGTAATTTTATTCTATAAATATTCTTTATGTATATGATGTATTTCTACATACTGAGTACAGTCACAAACTGTATATTTGTGTGGGACTTCATCAATTCCATGCTGACTGAAATCCACAAGCCATTCTCTGACAATTTCAAAGTAACAATTTATTCTTGCACTACAAGTGAAAAACAAAATAATGCAGTGCCAAAAACTATAAAACTGCTTTGTTATTCTATGTTGGATATCACTGAATGTTGCTTATGCAGCTGAACTTGGAAAGTAAACATAACACTAAATAAAGAATTATAAAACACTTTACACAACTCATACCGAAGATAGTGAAAAATGCTTTCATCAGAAAATAGAGATAATAGCACAATCTACCACGTCTGATCATCCATTGCATTTCATCATTAAGGGGAACCAAGAAAGCTTCATATATCTTATCTCTGTAACTGCTAAATCTATACTAGTTCAGCATTCAATCTTCTGCCGTCTCCAATAATTTTAAAGCCAACTGATATTATGATAAATATCTAATCTTATCTACAAGGTTACATTCATAAAAAAATAAATTCCAAAAGAATATCCCACTTTATCATGGTGGGATTTAATCCTCGCATCTACTTGAAAACTGAATTAGCAGTACAAAAATTAAAGAAAAATGATTTGGCATTATAGTCCTGTGAATTCTCATCTTCATTATAGGGATGTGTGAAATCTGTAAGGAATACCAAACCATTTGCCTGTCTTAAATCTGCTATGAAAATTTGCTAAAAAGTAAAAACAGTAAGCTTGATTCAAGGTTAATCAAAAGAAATTTCTGTGGGTTTTTAGAAGGGAAAAAGTTAACTTTAAAAAAAATAAGTTTTAAATGACAAATTACATCTGCATTTAACCCAATGGAAGGAAAAGGTTCAACCTCCACAGCAAGGGGAGAGGATAGCCAAAGAATAATAGCAAAATGGACTATTATTTAAATGATGAAAAATTGGAATGTGCTGCTGTGAAGAGGGACCTGGGTGTCCTTGTGCATGAATCACAAAAAGTTGGTTTGCAGGTGCAGCAGGTAATTAAGAAGGTGAATGGAATATTGTCCTCCATTTTTAGAGGGATGGAGTTTAAAAGTAGGGAGGTTATGCTGTAGCTGTACAAGGTGCTGGTGAGGCCACACCCAGATTACTGTGTACAGTTTTGGTCTCCTTACTTGAGAAAGGATGTACTGGCACTGGAGGGGGTGCAGAGGAGGTTCACAAGGTTGATTCCAGAGTTGAGAGGGTTGGCTTATGAGGAGCGATTGAGTAGACTGGGACTACACTCATTGGAATTTAGAAGAATGAGGGGTGATCTTACAGAAACAAATAAAGTTATAAAGGGAGACCATAAGGACTGCAGATGCTGGAAGCTCGAGTCGATAAATGTGGAGCTGGAAAAGCACAGCAGGGCAGACAGCATCTGAGGAGCAGGGAAGTCAACATTTCAGGCTGAAACCCTCTGTCAGAACTGGCTGATAAGATAGAAGCAGGGAGGTTGTTTCCAATGGCAGGTGAAACTAGAACCAGGGGGCATAGCCTCAAAATAAGGGAGAGCAGATTTATGACTGAGTTCAAGAGGAACTTCTTCACCCAAAGGGTTGTGAATCTGTGGAATTCCCTGTCCAGTGAAGCAGCTGAGGCTACCTCGTTGAATGTTTCTAAGGCAAACATAGACAGATTTTTGCAAGTAAAGGAATTAAGGATATGGTGAGTGGGAGGGTAAGTGGAGCTGAGTTCATGAAAAGATCAGCCATGATCTTATTGAATGGCAGAGCAGGCTCGAGGGGCCAGATGGCCTACTCCTGCTCCTATTTC